TATATCATATATACAGAGAAAACCAAGATGGGCAAGATGTGACACTAACAATCTGCCATTTTCTGTTCACTGCTAATGAGTGGATTATTAATTAGTGGTCCAGTAAGCACATGAAAGACATAAATATTTGATTGAAAATTGTCTCTGCTAATCCCTCCAGCTTGAGAAGGAACCTCTCTCTTCAGAATATTTTCTTTGAAGGGCCACTGCATTTTCTGGGTCTTGCAAGAAGAGTGATTATAGTCTGTTTCCTTGAGGAGTCTGATAAGAAGTCAGTGTCTCCCTCCGGGTCTGGTTAAAAGGATAATGTCCTGTTTTTTGTTTTGTTTTGTTTTGTTTTTGAGAGAGTCTCGCTGTGTCACTCAGGCTGGAGTATAGCTGTGTGATCTTGGCTCACTGCAACCTCTGCCTCCCGGGTTCAAGCGATTCTCCTGTCTTAGCCGCCCAAGTAGCTGGGACTACAGGCGCGTGCCACCACGCCTGGCTAATTTTTTGTATTTTTAGTAGACACGGGGTTTCAGCATGTTAGCCAGGATGCTCTTGATCTCCTGACCTCGTGATCCGCCTGCCTTGTCCTCCCAAAGTGCTGGGATTACAGGCGTGAGCCACCCAGTCCAGCCTCAAAAGGATAACGTGCTGTTATCCTTTGGCAGAGTCTCCTGACCTTCAAGAGATAACAAGTTGGACTGAGAAGAGAAAATCCACCCCAGACTTTGGATTACTGTCTCCACTAATGAGCAGACCAGGTCCCCAAAAGACAGGTCTTCTAACTTTCTCACCCGGAAGCATTTCGATAGTGTTTTCCGTGAAACTTTATTTAGAATAACAGGAAGAGACCTTACTTTGCTTGCTCCCCTAATTTCCTCAACTTTTCCAATTCATATGTTTCTTTCTAGGGAGTTCAACGTCATCTGGGACTGCTTCTTTGAAATCTTTTTTTTTTTTCTTGAGACAGAGTCTCACTCTGTCGCCAGGCTGGAATGCAGTGGTGCGATCTCAGCTCACTGCAACCTCTGCCTCCCCAGTTTAAGCAATTCTTCTGCCTCAGCCTCCCGAGTAGCTGGGATTACAGGTGCATGCCACCATGCCAGGCTAATTTTTGTATTTTTAGTAGAGAAGGGGTGTCACCATATTGGCCAGGCTGGTCTCTTTGAAATCTTAAATCCAAACATTTCTATTTTTCTAGATCCCTTGCTCAGGTGAATCCTTTCATCTTTACCTTATAGCTCATCAGGATGTAAGTCTCTTGACACCTCTCTAGTCCTTCCCTATTAGCTCCTACTCTCTTCACTTACACTTTAACCAAACTTAGACTTTACTCTCTTTCAACTCAATTATCTCTAGAGAATTCAGGGAGATAATGTAGGTAAAGCACTGGCAGAAAGAAATGTTCAATGAATGGTAGCTAACACCACTACCATCACTACTAGCAACATAAAAAACATTCTCTTGATCTTTTGTCATTCTAGTATGTCACTAGTATATACTGTATGTCACACAATCTTGGCCGCTAAATAGTATTGGGGAAAAAAATCACTAAATTGTGCAGACAGATAGATAATAGTAAATTCAAGCTTCCAGCTTTACCTGACAAACAATTCTAACTTTTAAAATCAGTTCTCTGAATTTTGAAACTACTCGAGGCCTTCTTCAATTTCCTCAAATCTACCTACCACTTCCCCATAATTCTCATTCTCGTTTCATAGGAAAAAATAGAAACTATAGAAAGAACTTCTTCAACTTCCAGTACCAAACATTCCTGCATCTGCACCTATCCTTCCTTCCCTGCTTTCCTCCTATGACAACAGAAGCAGTTTGATTCACTTCTAAAGGTCAATGACTCCATATTCTCTCCCACTCTTTGTCGTCCTTACCCACGTATCTTTAACTTCTCTCTCCATTGGCTCCTTTTCATCCATATATAAATATACCTAAATATGGCTGGGCTCAGCGGCTCACACCTGTAATTTCAACACTTTGGGAGGCCAAGGTGGGCAGATCACGAGGTCAGGAGTTCCAGACCAGCCTGACCAATATGGTGAAAGCCTGTCTCTCCCAAAAATACTGAAAAAGAAAAAAAAAAAAATTAGCCTGATGCGGTGGCACACACCTGTGGTCCCAGCTACTTGGGAGGCTGAGGCAGAAGAATCACTTGAATCCGGGAGGCGGAGATTGCAGTGAGCCGAGATGGATCCATTGCACTCCAACCTGGGCAACAGAGTGAGACTCAAAA